ACTGACAGACTGACCACAGCAGCACTAACAGCGAGCTGGAGCTTTTACAGTCACTAGAAGCACATTCAGGCTGTTTGTGAACGTAAATTAGTCTCAAACTGTCGACTTTATCTCGGCTTTTTGAGCCTTTTTCAACCGACAAAATACAGATTTTATTTGGTAAGAAAGTCAATATGACCAGCAGCATTTATGTGTTTCACAATACAGTCAAATAATTTGTTGTGTTCTCAGCACAGCCTACATAGTGAGTCTGTGAACTGTATGGGCTCAGAGCTGAGTGCCACAGTCAGACCTCAATCTGACGTGTTAAATAACTTCGGTGTCAGCGGGACGAAGCCCTGAAGACATAAATAAAGTTCAGGCTGAGTTTCAGAAAGCCAAAGAGTCATTAATTCTCTGAGGGACATCACTTCCACCTGCTTTCCTCTGTAATTACAGATGAGGCAGACAAAAGGCTGGCAGGAACGAGGGAGAATTAATTAGCCTACGAGGGAGTGTGTCATCCATCTGAGGACTATTTTGGAACATTAGCACAGAAAGTCTCAGATTTTGTCTACAGCACAGATTTATTACTGTACCCTCTGGACGACTGACACCACGTTCAGTTAATTCAATTGAAACTGTAAAAGTGTATTTTAAACAGATGGATTTATATTCCTACTATTGAATGTATGTAAATTCTGCACCAGTGGTTAGACCTCTACTTAAATCTACTTATATTACAGACAGGATATTCTGATTAATGCAAACTTAACACGTTTATAGTTTTTCTACATTATTTCTTTGCCATTTTTCTTGATTGTCATTGTTAAAATACCATTGATTAAACTCAACACTTCCTGTATTTCACAGTATTTCTGTGTAAAACAGAAAGGCAGCAGCAGAGTGGTGACTAACGAGCTACAGGTGATTCCTGATTAATTTCCCCGACCTTTATCCGTCCCTGCTGCAGTGTTGGCCGTTATTTGAATATTGTCTCGGCAGTGTTAAAGCACACTTCTGTGATGACAGCAGACAAGCTGTGCACTTCAGTTGTTCTCCAGGAATTGTTCTGACATTGACCGTCACTCGCTGTTGGCGGTTGCACTCACCTCTGTTGGGCCTCCAGAACTTCTCCATGCCGTGCCTCATCAGGACGATGCGCGACAGCTCCGTGAACGATTCGATGACGTTGAAGTTGCACAGGGGGCTCACCTCGAAGAAGGTCATGCCGTTCTTCTCGGCGTACGCCCTCGCCTGCTCGGTGGGAACTTGCCGTTTGAAGGCCAGGTGTAGACGGTTACCGACGAGGATTCGAGGCACGCCTGGAGCATGCTGAGAAGGGAAATTCAAAACAGAGGAGAGAATAAACCTTTTATATTAAAACACAGAGTAACTATTTTCTGCCTGCCTGTTGCTGTTACTGGACCTGCGTCTCTTCTACTGTTGTGGTACAAGAGCCACTTTCTATAAATAAATCTAGTTTAGTTTTAGTTGGGGGTTAGGGATGACAGTGACCAAAATTTTGATCAGTTACGGTACTGATTAGATTACCCAAGAACAGTGGTTCCCAACCTGGGGGTTCAGAAACCTGTGAGGCAGTCCTGCTTTAAAAAGTATATACTATATAGTTATAACAACCAAAGAGCTAATAGAAGAATCATCAGGGAGAAGAAAAGAAAGTCAAAGAAAGAAGAAGCCTATTAATCTGTATGATTGTTAATAAATGAACACAAACATAACACAGATAAAAATGTCCTAAAAATATCAGAAAAACTCATCTCTGATCAATATTCACAGGTCAAAATTCATCCAAAATGTTGGTTTTCCTGCAGTTTCTGCAGTTACTGTGTTCAGTTACAGTTGTAAGTTGCTGCCAGAGGAAAGCCCCACTGGCTTTAATGGGGTGGGTTCCCAATCCCTGAATATTTGGAGGATTTTAAGTAAACACAGCTGGCGTCTCTCTATTTTTCACACCTTTGTTGGAAAAGATTTGCTTACAGAATAATCTCAGCAGAATCTCGAGCTGATTTAAAAGCATCAGACAGAAACAGAAAGAGAGTGAGAGACTTTACATTCATACAAAGTGACCTGAGCAGAGGCTCGTTATTAATTCAACGCGCTGAAGGAAACGGCGTGTATCGGTCTCTCTAATTCATCCTCATCTGTTCTGACAAACTGAATGAAACATGATGGCAGCGAGCGGCCGACCTCTCTCCTCCTTTACTCCTTCACTCCTTCTGACTGTCACCGCTCATCAGCCTCTCTTCTGAGCTCTTTCATGCCCAGAGTCTGTCCACAGAGGTCGGTGTTGTACCAGCAGCAGCAGCAGCGGTCCCAGAAGAGACGGTACCGGCTGCAGCAGCGGCGGCGGTGATGACGGTGGAAAAAGCAAATACTGGAGGTTTCTACAGACGTCAGGGTTTGTACTTTGCCAGTGGCCAGTAAAGTCGTTGCTGTTCAACTGCTTGATCTGTCTCACATTTTCCACAACAGAACAATTTCAAAGAGATGTTGGAGAGCTCTCTGTATGGAGAGACTGAGTCTGGATATTCCAAAGGCTAGTTCACCAAAGGCTGAAGAGTAAAGGTCTAACAGGGTGAGACACTCCTCTGTCCGTGGGTTGTAATGTTCTTTTAACTAGTGATAACTGGATTGATAATGACGGCTAGATGTACTGTATGATATACTGATGTGCTGTGTAGTTGTTATGTTCTCTGTTCCACTTGGCTGCAGGACGTATTTTCCCCTTGGGGACGATAAGAAGTTGCTGGTACATAAAAATGATGTGTATTATTAGTGTTTGTATTTAGGCGTTCACTGTCACTGTGAGAGATGTCAGTGAATTACAGTCAACTCTGTTCAACACAAACCAGCCGTACTCGTCTTCCTCTGCTGCCATTATCGCAGAAAATAAGGTGACTTTGACAAAAACGAGATAGGATACTGTACAAAGACTGTCAGTTACACTAGCTGTAAAGGAGGTACAGCGAGTTGTCTTCACTACAGGAGTAATAACTGTGCTGGGTTGATGCCATTATATTATCCCATATCACTGAGACACTGACATGAAACGATTAGTTCATTAAAATACAGTCAACTATTTAGATATTAGATTCATTTATTGCATTATTTCATTTATTAGACAAAAATGCAAATAATTTGTTTCCAGATTTTCAGACATGAGTTTTTTCTTCATTTTCTGTTTTATTTTGTTGTAAACTGAATATCTTTGGATTCGACAAAATATTATAAGAACGCCTTGAACACAGAAAATAGTACATTATACATTTTTCCAGATATTTAACTGATAATAAGTTGATCAAAAATGTATAAATGAATAAAACTAAAAGCAAAACTGCCTAATAATCCAGCACATAACCAGTGATTACTGTAAATGGTGCCCGTTGAACTTCTACATCTGTTTTTATCTTCTTTACACACGTTAACTTTCACCATCCAGGCGTTTTTCATCCATCCATCTCTGCTTTATTTCTGTCTTTTAAAAAGTGGCCGACCACACCGCGTCCGTGGAGGTGGAGCAGGAAAGGCCAAACTGAAACATACATTCCACAGGCCAAAAATATCTCTCACACACACAGACATCCTTTTTGTTTCAGTCAGCAGGAAAGGACATGAGAGTAGCCCACACACACACACATTAACACACACACACACACATTAACACACACACACACACACATTAACACACACACACACATAAACACACACACCACATGTTGTCTTAGTGTTCACTTAGCTTACATTGACCCTTTGTCCCAATCTATAACGGGACATGTTTGTAATTGCTTTAAGCCTGAAAGCGAAAATAAGATTAGACAAAACTTACAACCTTAAAACGCGAGATCGTAAAATTTTATTTCTATATTTTCAATTTTATTCTTACGGCCAAAGCAGTACAGGGAAAACTCAACATCTATTCACTGTCAAAGATTACAGTTATTAACGAGTTACTATAAAGATCCAAACTGATCCACAACTAAATGAAACTTTGTCACATTGCCTCATACGTGAATGTAATTGTGTTCGTTTGGGGAACATTTATTTCATCAGGCTTTATGAATAGATATAATTGGGTATCATCTGCATAACAATGAAAGTTAATGGAGTGATTCCTAATAATGTTGCCTCAACAAACCTGTATCACAAATATGAATACTGAATGTCATAAAGCTGGTGATCAGTTAACAGGAACCCTGTTAGGAATTAATGAAACTCAATTAATCTACAAACATAATCACCACTATTATAGCAGTTGGTGTAGTCTTCAATCTCTGACATAATTATCACTGAAAGTGGTTTTACTGATCTATAAAACTTTTTATTGCTCTTAAATTACTTATTTTATTTCCAGTGATGTAATTGATCGGAAGAGATCGTTACCTTGCATTGGAACAGGGTTGCCATGCAGTATAAGTCAGGGTTAGGGTTGCTGCCTCGGTTATAAGCGAACCTGGCTTTGTGATACAGACCCTGGACTTCAGTAAGTATAATGTTCTCACCTTCCTCTCTAATTCATCCCGAGCTCAATGCCCCGCCGACATCCATCAAACCAATCATCCATCCATCTCTTAGACTCACCTCATCAATCTCTCTGATCCACCTGTCGATTCCATCAAAGGACCACCGGTTCGTGATGTCATACACCAACAGGATCCCCTGAAGACAGACAGACAGAGACAGACAGACAGACAGACAGATAGAGAGACAGACAGACAGATAGAGAGACAGACAGACAGACAGACAGACAGACAGATAGATAGATAGATAGAGACAGACAGATAGAGAGACAGACAGACAGATAGATAGATAGAGAGAGACAGACAGACAGATAGAGAGACAGACAGACAGATAGATAGAGAGACAGACAGACAGATAGAGAGACAGACAGACAGAGAGAGACAGACAGACAGAGACAGACAGACACAAGTTAAGCAGGTTAGCTTCATGCAGAGTGGAGTCGGTTTCAGTTTTTTAAGCAGTTTGTTCCTCACCTGAGCCCCGCGGGAGTAAGAGCGAAAGATGGTGCAGAACCTCCCCTGTCCTGAAGTGTCCCTGAAGACAGAAAGAAAAGGTATAGAGAAGGATTAACAGTCAGCTAGAATGTCTTCAGCTGCCAGGAGTCGAGAAGTAAAACCTTTTTTTTGGACTCGATAGCCTGAAAAGCAGCAGGTTTCAGCACCGAGGACGAAACACTGGCCTGAATTTTTCATCAACAAATCAACCCTTCGGTTTCAGCAGAGGCAGCAGTGATCAAACTCTCATATCGGCTCAGAGGAGCTCTTCCAACGGAGCTCCACAAGGCAATTCACATTCATCACCAGTATCTTTATAGATCATCCCTGTGGGTGAACACAATGTGAGGCAGCAGACAAAATATGTAGAGCTACTTATACTGTCTTAATGCAACTCTTTTTATTTTTACCGAATGTTTATCACATATCTGGAAGACTATATTCATATGGCCATTTCTTTTACTAGTTTAAGTCATTTTAATCCCAATTTATTCATTCTAGTAGCATTTTAGTAGCAGCTCTCAGCTTCGCAGTCTACATCTTACAGCGACTGAAGGCGATAATGTCGATCTTTTGTCTTTCTACAAACCCTGTGAACGGCTATTTCAAACAGGTGTTACAGATACAAAAGAAAAATCAACAACTTCACAGCTTGTTTGGCATCTCAGGTTTAGAAACTATTTTTAGTGTTTTAGAGTTTGAAAGAAATCTGACAACAATTGTTTGTAATTGCTGAAGCCTGAAAGCGAAAATAAGATAAGACCAAAAACTTACAACCTTAAAACCGCGAAAGATCCTGAAAAATTTTTTATTTCTGATATTTTTTATATTCTTCTACGGCCAACAGTCCAGGGAAAACTCAACATCTATTCACTATTCACATAATATATGATAACTATATTCATATGGCCATTTCTTTTACTAGTTTAACTCCTTTTAATCCTAATTTATTAATTCTAGTAGCAACTTCAGACCAGCTGCAGCAAAGACTAGTTAGAGCTCGGTGTGTTCATTCAGTGACGCTGATGCCTGACAGACAATCCTCTGTCGATCACACATTGTGTTTCTTCCAGAAATGACGTCCCTACTAATGAAATGTTGTTTGCTTCTTGAGGCAGGAGGTGCAGCACCGGTTTTATGAGCGTCTGTTAAAGAGTTAAATGATGCACACCTGTCTCATCGGATCAAACTGACAGTCCAATATCAGCTTTTTAATAAAAGGTACAATCAGCCGTAGAAATCCACAAACCAATATATTCCTCTTCGAGCCTGATGACGGTTTAATGAACGGATAGCAATCAGTTCATTAAACCGTCATAATCTATGGGGGGTCGCCCTGCTGGCCTGTAGGGGTTTGAGTTTGTAGAATTTAATTCCCCATTTCTCTCTCACATCGTTTCCTGTCATCTCAACTGGTGGCTCAGCTCGTTCTGAATGTGTCTCAGAGTTTGTGGTCAAAAACATACATTTATATTAAATGTTGAGCTATCTGCGGTCTGACTTTCAGCCCATTCTGTTTTATTCATATTCATAAGAGCCAGCAGCGGTTATGATGCTCACACTCCGTTTATTATGAGAGTAATGTGCTCTGATTGCAGGGAGGAAAATATGACTTTGTACATGTGTTTAATAACCTATTTGAAAAACAAATTTGCTTGGTTTGAATTCTATAAAAGTGGGTTGCGACTTTATGGCCAACGGAAAATGTGGGCAGTTGAGAACGACTGCTCTAATAAAGTAATGGTCGAATGGCTAAATGAATGAGAAACATAAACTCAGTCAGTCGCCCATCTGGAGGGACTAACAGTCAGTGCAAAGAGAAAGGAAGGCTTCACTTTTCTTATCGTCAGCAAATACCACGAAAGGACCAACATGCTGCTAGTTTTTAATCAAACAGGAAGAAATAGTGCTGGGACTATTTTCAGCGGCGGATGAAACCACATTCGGTGCTGTAGTGAGTATTTGGGGCAGCAGGACGGTGTCTGTGGGATAGAGCAAACTAGAATAAACTACAGTGTGTGTGTTGGTGGTAATGACAGTGAGAGTGAGACTCATTGATGTGTTTTAATAGTTTGTAGGGACAAAGGAGCTCTAGGGCTCAGACTCTGATACACACAACACTTGTCAGTCGGATTATACGACATTAGTTGTTGGTTTTTGGTCTTTCTATGTGATTTTTTGTCGATAATAAAAATATAGAAGAACACCAGACCCGCTTTAAGGTTTTATTCTCTGCAGTCGTTCTCGTTTGCCACCTCAGAGACGCTGAGTCATGAGACACAGACAGAAACAGATGGCACCAGAGACAGGAATGGAAAAGAAGCAGAGGGCGAGTTAAAGAGTGTGAGCGAGAAGAAAGACAACATTTAGACAGTAAAACGACAGCGAGACAGAGAGAGAGCAGCGGAGGAAAGACTGACGCAGCAGAAATAAAGAAGATTCTGCATCACAGCGCTGCCTTTAAACTTCTCCTCCGCGGGGAAGGCAAGGCGTTGCTTCTCCCCTGAGTAGTTGAATTCTTTGGCCTACTTCCACCACACAGGCCTCGCCTCGCACTGCAGCACGTCTTCACTGACAATCACACACATCTGCTGCATCTCTGACGCAACATGATTTCTGAGGCATGTAACAATACGCAGTGCACTTTTCTCTGTGTGCCAATATTAGACTAACAAAGCTGTTTGGATAGGAGCACCTTTTAATGTTCGGTGGATCAGCTTTAAGATGGATCGTCGTTCTGCTGCCTGTCATCCAGTTTGGGTTAAACTCAGTCTTCTTCTCGTCTGTGTAATCTTTCTGCAACCATTATATAAACCTTCCTATTCTGTATTTTTGAATGTTTCTCCTTCACCTCTTTTAAAATGGGATGTGTATATTATGTAAATGTAAACTCCTGACAAACAGTATTCCTGTTTTTCCCTTAAGTAGCTTTCCCTGTCTGACACTATCAGATATATTCTGTAACATGTTGTTCCAACTCTTCATTGAAGCTCCGTGAATGAAATATTCAGACCCAAGACTTTTTTTTATGGCTGCTCGGCTCCATCAGACAGAAATATTCATTGTGCATCATTTTATACACATTTCCCCCAAATTCTGCCTGACCTATTTGGGATCTTTGGGAACGTTTGGAGCCCCACTAGAATTTGAAGTTAAGTTTTGTGGGTTTGAACAATGTTTGATGGCACAGCAAGACTTGTGTACGCCCAACAGGTCCGAAATATTTAAGAGGCTAAAGAGTCGGTTCAGCCAATATACAAAATCCTGTCTTTTCAATTTGTAAGTAAATTTGTGATTATCCTAGAGCTCGAACGAATCTACAGGCACACTCCTACACACAAAGTCACTGTGTCTGGCTTACAGTTAACATCTGAACGTACGATGGCTGTTTGGGGCCAATGAACACGATGATTTCTTCTCGTGCTAAAAACAACCTGAAAACATCTTGTTCAGTGTTCAGTTGTACTGAAAGACACTCAGGTTTTCTGTTTGTCACTAGTTAAAATTAGCATCCCAATTTCATCAGTTAACGTGAATTACGGATGCACTTTGCAAATGATCACTTCTGGCTCCAGAAACAAGATTGCAACGGCCAAAATGACAAACTCCAGGCTTCAAAACGGTTCTTTTATACAGTCTGTGTTCAGAAATCATTCAACTTTATTGTATCAGGTTTGAAACCTGAAAGAAATAAAGAAAATATTGTTTTATAATTTATAATTTGGCTGAATGAGCCCATAAAAGGTCCAGCAGGTGTAGGACAGCGCTGCATTGAGGGATTTGAGAGTGTACACCAGTAGAAGAGCAGCAGTGGCTCTCTGTTGTGCAGACAGCAACCGGTTGACGTGTGCTTACCAAAGCTCCAGCTTCACTCGCCTCCCGTCCAGAAGAATGGTGGTGGTTTTATAGTCGATACCTGGAGAGAGGGGGCAGACAGAGACGGGCGTGAGGCAGATGGATGCATCACGAAGGCCAACATCACTCAAGATTACAGTACGCCAGTCAGAGACGAGCTGCTGCTGCACAAAATGACTCATTTCAAACCCAATCAAAGTGTTAATTTACCCACAACACACCACAGAGATCGGAGATCTGTGTGTTTATGGCAACACAAAATATATCACAGTGGAGATCTTTCAGCGTGCTCTGAGTCGTTTTTATCACGGCAATGTTTCCGTCTGTCAACCTTTATTTCTTTATTCAAGTTTAAAGCTGAAATATTAAAACACGTAATCTCACACACATCAAAACAGTAACAAAAGACGTATGGTGGAGCAGCGTTGGATCATGGGAAGTCTTCATTCACAGCCGATGAAAATCTACCTGACGTTACTCACGAATGAGGAAAGTTACCTGGACGTTACAGCAACTGGAACAAGTAGTGCGTTTGAACGTTGTTGGAAACATTCAGGATAATGTCTCCACCACAGAGACGTTCTTTATTCATTCAACATTTGACAAGCGGAGAAGTGAAAGTCTGAGTCGTGTTTACTGACTCAGCAGCGAGCCGCCTCGGGCACTAACAGTTCTGCCAGAACCTGTCTGACTGCTACACCTGTCGCCCTGCTGCTCCACGTCTCGACACGTTTGTGTTACCAACCTGAGGCCGAACAGGTGAACCGCGAGATAATCACGGTTCCGACGTCTCATAAGATGTTTGAGGGCTCATTTATTTATTTCATTTCATATTAAATAGTTTTCTTACCGTCAACAAAGTCTGATAAAAGAGCCGAATGAGCCACAATGATGGGAATTAATCCGCCACTGGAAATAGTCCGCAACAAACATTTCCTCCTGTTTGAGTAACGTTTGTTAAAACAACAACGGACTCGAGCTGAGCGACTGAACACTGTTGGTTTCAGTCTTTTAGTTTTAGTTTGTTAACAAGAACCAAATTCAGAATAACACCAGCCTCAACCTTTAGAACATTTAGAGTATTGGTTCGATCTGGAACTTCATTATTGAACTAAAGACAAATCATGATAAGTGTAAAACTGCGACACGTGTCGACATTTCCTCTCACAATAATTACGATTCACACAACACCTCCTCTCTCGTTCTTTATTGAATCGACAGTATTTCCACACACCAGGTTTAACTTCTCCTGTGGGGATATAAACTGAGCCTTCAGCCGTGCAGACAGGATCAGGATTCTGGACTGTAAAGCTGCACCAGGTCTTCCCCTTTGACCCCCATGTTCAATCAATAAAGGACTGTGTGCTGCTGTCTGTGTATGTTAGCTGCTGTTGGACTCCAACAGTTAAAGACCCAAACGTCTGACGAGTAAAACCTTTCTCACGGATAAAAAGCCAGCGCATGACGGAACAAATGGTGTGTGTGTGTGTTCGGATGAAACACTACGTCTCCTGGGAGAAAGAGACATAAACGCAGCATTACTGTTGGAAACAGAAACAGAGCGAGACTCTCACACATGACTGCATCAGCCTCTGGCAGGTAGCAGCTGCTGGCTAACGACGTTACCAATATCTTCCAATTTTCCAGGCAGCACAAAGCGGCTGCCGAGCTAAAGTGCTGAGCTCAGGCTGGTGTAATTGAATTGGAGTGAGTGCTGTGCTTCGTACCAAGTGCTTCCTCTGCGCTCGCTGCCAGGGCTCACTTAGATATCCCAGATAATCAATAACTCCTCTGATGTCTCTGATGTCTCAGCTGAGCGCTGCTGCTTCTATTCTGGGAGTCGGTCGGATGACTTTGTTTGTTCTTCGTGTACTCGCCGCCGTGTGAAGCTCTCGGCGCTCTGCCGTTGTGCAGGTGGAGGCAGAGAGGAGCTGGTGTTATAAAATCACTCAGTGGATGTCATTCTCTGTCATCAGCACATTTTCCACTAAATCAGTTGAGACTTCTGGAAACACTGAGCCGACAGCTGGAGGTACGTGAGCGTCTGCTGGATCCACAGCAGGAAACAACATAAAGATATTTAACAAACAGCAGCTTCAGTCTGAACTGTGGTACAATACTTCCACATGTTACAGCTATAAACGATGAGATTAGGAGTCACTGCGATAGTGAGAGTGAACAGAAGCTGAACTGACAGAAACTATTATATCCACTAAATTCATTTACCTTAAAAGATTAATGGTGTTTGAAATGAATTCAAATAAACACATTCAGAACATTAACGGTGTTGATGAATGCTGCACAGTAACGAGTGTAATGCAGATATTTATTGATGTTCACACACACACATATATATATATTATTAATTAAACTAATTAAACAGATTTCCCTCCTCAGGCCTTCACTCTGTTGGCTCTTTGCTCTCTGTGTCATTCATTATTCCAACACCAGGAGACAGAGCGACTTAAGGCGTCACGTTATTATCCAATATCATAAAAACTGCATCCGGAATGAGCTGCCAAAGCTCGTTAAACCGCGCGGATATAAACCGCCGGGCGATGAATCAGCCGGTAGCAGCTTACTGAGATACAGAAAGCTCCACTCTGTACGTCCGTATGCTTTAATGTTTGTGTTACCTCGTGCTGCTGATACAGTTATTGTACAGCTGTTCTCCAACACTAACATCATTTAAATCCATTTCCAGATGTTTCCTAGACTGGAAAACTCTCTAAAGTCTCTAAACCTCCAGGTTTTTCCAGGATGTGTTAAAATCTCCAACAAAACTATTGTGTGTTTTTAAAATTCTAATATCGCTATCCGCCTCAAAAACCCGCCACGTCTGAATTAATTAATTAATTAAAGAAAGAAAAATAACTAAATATGACCCTTGAGAGACTCTGAGGCTGGGAAACATCATTTTACAACTACCAACATCTGTACAGGGGATTAATGA